CTCCCTGCTGAGGCACCCATCAACGCTGCTGAAGAAGGACCTCCCTGCTGAGGCACCTATCAACACTGCTGAAGGAGGACCTCCCTACTGAGGCACCATCAACACATGCTAAAAGAAGGACCTCCCTGCTGAACACCTATTAACACTGCTGAAGGAGGAACCCCCTTCTGACGCACCCATCAACACTGCTGAAAGAAGGACCTCCTTGCTGAGCCACCTACAACACTGCTGAAGAGACCTCCCTGATGAGGGCACCCATCAACACTGCTAAAGGGAGCACCTCCCGCTGAGGCACCCATCAAAAATGCTGAAGAAGACCTCCCTGTTTGGGATCCTCACACTGCTGAAGGACCCCTCCCTGCTGAGCACCCATCAACACTGCTGAAGAAGGACCTCCCTGCTGAGGCACCTGTCAACACTGCTGAAGGAGGACCTCCCTGCTGAGGCACTCCTCAACACTGCTGAAGGAGCACCTCCCTGCTGAGGCACCCATCAACACACTGCTGAAGGAGGACCTTCCTGCTGAGGCACTTCTCAACACTGCTTAAGGAGGACCTCCCTGCTGAGGCACTCCTCAACGCTGCTGAAGGAGCACCTTCCCGCTGAGGCACCCATCAACACTGCTGAAGGAGCACCTCCCTGCTGAGGCACCCATCAACACACTGCTGAAGGAGGACCTCCCTGCTGAGGCACTTCTCAACACTGCTTAAGGAGAACCTCCCTGCTGAGGCACTCCTCAACACTGCTGAAGGAGCACTTCCCTGCTGAGGCATCCACCAACACACTGCTGAAGAAGGACCTCCCTGCTGAGGCACCTGTCAACACTGCTGAAGGAGGACCTCCCTGCTGAGGCACCCATCAACACTGCTGAAGAAGGACCTCCCTGCTGAGGCACCCATCAACACTGCTGAAGGAGGACCTCCCTGCTGAGGCACCCAACAACACTGCTGAAGAAGGACCTCCCTGCTGGGGCACATCAACACTGCTGAAAAAAGACCTCCCTGCTGAGGCCCATCAACACTGCTAAAGAGGACCTCCTGCTGACCACCATCAACACTGCTGAAGGAGTACCTCCCTGATGACGCACCCATCAACACTGCTGAAGGAGCACCTCCCTGCTGAGGCACCCATCAACACTGCTGAAGAAGGACCTCCCTGCTGAGGCACTCCTCAACACTGCTGAAGGAGCACCTCCCTGCTGAGGCATCCATCAACACTGCTGAAGAAGGACCTCCCTGCTGAGGCACCTGTCAACACTGCTGAAGGAGGACCTCCCTGCTGAGGCACTCCTCAACACTGCTGAAGGAGCACCTCCCTGCTGAGGCACCCATCAACACACTGCTGAAGGAGGACCTTCCTGCTGAGGCACTTCTCAACACTGCTTAAGGAGGACCTCCCTGCTGAGGCACTCCTCAACGCTGCTGAAGGAGCACCTTCCCGCTGAGGCACCCATCAACACTGCTGAAGGAGCACCTCCCTGCTGAGGCACCCATCAACACTGCTGAAGGAGGACCTCCCTGCTGAGGCACCCAACAACACTGCTGAAGAAGGACCTCCCTTCTGAGGCACCCATCAACACTGCTGAAGAAGGACCTCCCTGCTGAGGCCCATAAAACACTGCTGAAGAAGGACCTCCTGCTGAGGCACCCATCAACACTGCTGAAAAAGACCTCCCTGCTGAGGCACCCATAAAACATGCTGAAAAGGACCTCCCTGCTGAGCACCCATCAACACTGCTGAAGAAGGACCTCCTGCGGGAGCACCCATAACCCACTGCTGAAAACGGAATTCCCTGCTGAGGCACCCATCAACACTGCTGAAAAAGGACCTCCAAGCTGAGGACCCATCAACACTGCTGAAAGAAGGACCTCCCTGCTGAGGCCCCCATCAACACTGCTGAAAAAGGACCTCCCTGCTGAGGCACCCATGAACACTGTGAAAAAGGACCCCCCTGCTAAGGAAACCCCTCAACACTGCTGAAAAAGGACCCCCTGCTGAGGCACCCATCAACACTGCTGAAAAAGGACCTCACTGCTGAGGCACCCATCAACACTGCTGAAAAAGGACCTCCCTGCTGAGGCACCCATCAACACGCTGAAGGAGGACCTCCTGCTGAGGTACCCATCAACACTGTGAAGGGGACCTCCCTGCTGAGGCACCCATAAACACTTTTGGAAAAGGACCTCCCTGCTGAGGCACCCATCAACACTGCTGAAGGAGGACCTCCCTGCTGAGGCACCCATCAACACTGCTGAAAAAGGACCTCCCTGCTGAGGCACCCATCAACACTGCTGAAGGAGACCTCCCTGGTGAGGAACCATCAACACTGGCTAAAGGGGAGGACCTCCCTGCTGAGGCACCCATCAACACTGCGGGAAGGAGGACCTCCCTGCTGAGTACCCATCAACACTGCTAAAGGGGGAAACCTCCTGCTGAGGCACCCATCACACTGTTGGAAAAGGACCTCCTGTGAGGCACCCATCAACACTGCTGAAAAAGGACCTCCCTGCTGGGGCCCACCATCAACACTGCTGAAAGGAGACCCCCCCTGGTGAGGACCCATCAACACTGCTAAAGGGAGGCCCTCCCGCTGAGGCACCCATCAACACTGCTGAAGGAGGACCGCCCTGCTGAGGCCCCCAAATCAACACTGCTGAAGGGGGAAACCTCCCTGCTGAGGCCCCCTTTCAACGCTGCTGAAGAAGGACCTCCCTGCTGAGGCACCTATCAACACTGCTGAAGGAGGACCTCCCTGCTGAGGCACCCATCAACACTGCTGAAGAAGGACCTCCCTGCTGAGCCACCTATTAACACTGCTGAAGGAGGAACTCCCTTCTGACGCACCCATCAACACTGCTGAAGAAGGACCTCCCTGCTGAGCCACCTATCAACACTGCTGAAGGAGTACCTCCCTGATGACGCACCCATCAACACTGCTGAAGGAGCACCTCCCTGCTGAGGCACCCATCAACACTGCTGAAGAAGGACCTCCCTGCTGAGGCACTCCTCAACACTGCTGAAGGAGCACCTCCCTGCTGAGGCATCCATCAACACTGCTGAAGAGGACCTCCTGGAGGCACCTGTCAACACTGCTGAAGGAGGACTCCCTGCTAGGCACCCTCAACACTGCTGAAGGAGCACCTCCCTGCTGAGGCACCCATCAACACACTGCTGAAGGAGGACCTTCCTGCTGAGGCACTTCTCAACACTGCTTAAGAGGACTCCTGTGAGGAAATCCTCAACGCTGCTGAAGGAGCCCTTCCCGCTGAGGCACTCCTCAACACTGCTGAAGGAGCACCTCCCTGCTGAGGCACCCATCAACACACTGCTGAAGGAGGACCTCCCTGCTGAGGCACTTCTCAACACTGCTTAAGGAGAACCTCCCTGCTGAGGCACTCCTCAACACTGCTGAAGGAGCACTTCCCTGCTGAGGCATCCACCAACACACTGCTGAAGAAGGACCTCCCTGCTGAGGCACCTGTCAACACTGCTGAAGGAGGACCTCCCTGCTGAGGCACTCCTCAACACTGCTGAAGGAGCACCTCCCTGCTGAGGCACCCATCAACACTGCTGAAGGAGCACCTCCCTGCTGAGGCACCCATCAACACACTGCTGAAGGAGGACCTCCCTGCTGAGGCACTTCTCAACTCTGCTTAAGGAGGACCTCCCTGCTGAGGCACTCCTCAACGCTGTTGCAGGAGCACCTTCCCGCTGAGGCACCCATCAACACTGCTGAAGGAGAACCTCCCTGCTGAGGCACTCCTCAACACTGCTGAAGAAGGACCTCCCTGCTGACGCACTCATCAACACTGCTGAAGGAGGACCTCCCTGATGACCCACCTATCAACACTGCTGAAGAAGGACCTCCCTGCTGAGGCATTTCTCAACACTGCTGAAGGAGGACCTCCCTGCTGAGGCACCTTTGAACACACTGCTGAAGGGAACTCCTCGGGATTTTTCAACACTGCCGAAGGAGGACCTCCCTGCTGAGGCACTCCTCAACATTTGCTGAAGGGGAATCCCTGCTGATGAACCCATCAACACTGCTGAAGAAGGACCTACCTGCTGAGGTACCTATCAACACTGCTGAAGAAGGACCTCCCTGCTGAGGCATTTCTCAACACTGCTGAATTCCTGCTGAGGCATCCATAACACTGCTAAAGAATGACCTTCCTGCTGAGGCACCTATTAACACACTGCTGAAGAAGGACCTCCCTGCTGAGGCACCCATCAACACTGCTGAAGAAGGACCTCCCTACTGAGGCATTTCTCAACACTGCTGAAGGAGGACCACCCTGCTGAGGCACCCATCAACACTGCTCAAGGAGAACCTCCCTGCTGAGGCATCCATCAACACTGCTGAAGGAGAACCTCCCTGCTGAGGCACCCATCAGCACTGCTGAAGGAGGACCTCTCTGCTGAGGCACCCATCAACCCTGCTGAGGGAGGACCACACTGCTGAGTTACCCATCAACACTGCTGAAGGAGGGGCCTACCTGCTGAGGTATCCCTCAACACATAGCTGAAGAAGGACATCCCTGCTGAGACACTCCTCAACACTGCTGAAGAAGGACCTCCTTGCTGAGGCACCCATCGACACTGCTGAAGAAGGACCTCCCTGCTGAGGCACCCATCATCACTGCTGAAGAAGGACCTCCCTGCTGAGGCACCCATCAACATTGCTGAAGGAGGACCTCCCTGCTGAGTCACCCAACAACACTGCTGACAGAGGACCTCCCTGTTGAGGCACCCATCAGCACTGCTGAAGGAGAACCTTCCTGCTGAGGCACCCATCAACATTGCTGAAGGAGGACCTCCTTGCAGAGGCACCCATCAACACTGCTGAAGAAGGACCTTCCTGCTGAGGCACTCCTCAACACTGCTGAAGAAGGACCTCCCTGTTGAGGCACCCATCAACACACTACTGAAGGAGGCATCAGTTTACAACAACGATGATTAAATTCAGTTATGAAATTCAGGAGATGATCTTCGGTACTCACCACGGAAGGTCACTTTAATGAGTTTGCTGAAGAGTTCATGACCATGAATGTGGCCGCTGTGAGCCATGGCCTCACACATGCCCTCCACGCCCTCACAGCTCTCCTCCCACATAGCGTGGAGAGCGTAGGCGAAGGCGTACACAGAATCACGGACGAAATGCAGCCACTGTATCTGTCGGTATTGGCTCTTTTCCCTGTCAGAGCAGCAACAAATGACTTTGTTAGTGTCAGACATCTCAGTGGATCTTCATACAAGAAAAGTTGCTTGTCGATTAATTATTTTTTTGATTATGCTGAAACTAACCCGTTCTTGTGGTTCCAGTACTCGAGGAACCACGGGTTGCGGGTGTTGGTTTCGGGTGTGAGGCCGGCGAAGTACTCGTCGTAATCTGGAAGTGACTTGGCCAGCGGTTGCACAGCGATCGACCCCTCCGCCACATCTTCCACACCCTGCAACGTCACACTAACTTATCAGAACCCTTTCTAATATACCCATGTGTCAGCAAACCGAACATCAGATTTACTTAAGTCTACCCATAAAGTAACGTTCATACATGTGTTTTCTATAATATTAGTGATGTTCATTTTCTCTTAGCTTCTTTCTTCACGGGATAACTCAAAGAACTCCACAAGGAACTCGCTCCAGAAGAATAAGTAAGTAAGTAAGTAAGTTTATTCAGATATACACAAATACAGTTACATAGAATTATCATACATAGCAGCATATGTGTAGAGAACCTAGGATAACCCAAAAAAGTCAGACAGAGTGACTTATTTCCGTTGGGGTCCTTTTACCTTATTATTATAGTATAAAGGTTATAATATTTTCTTATTATTCTACAATGAAGATAACATCTTATTATAATACTAAAAAGACTATCTGCTACACCAAGGTCATTAAGACTATCTACAATACGAGGAATAAGGTAAAATTTACACGTATGTTAGCTAAAAAATAGAAAATCATTCCCCTCCCTTTCTGTAGCTACATTCATCAGTCACCTTTTGGCACTCTTCTTGAACTGGTTCATGCTATGACTGGCTTTGACATGTGCGGGTAGTCTGTTCCATTCCTTTATTGCTGTACAATAAAAGGTGTTTGAAGCCTGGCCACTGACTGTGGGTACTACAAAGTTGTGTTCTCTCCCCCTAGTACTATGATTGCTTTGGTTCCCAACCTTGACAAAATTGACAACAAGATATTCTGGACACTGTTTGTGAGCAATTTTATAAACATGATTTAGCTTCTGGAAGGGACTTCACAAGGTGTCCAGTGGCTCGGTTGATATCGCATTCAATTCACATACAAAGTGTCCGTGATCCGATCCCCGGCACAGATGGGAACGTTGGGTATATTAGCTTTCACCTGCTGTTCTTGTTCACCTAGCAATAAGTAGGTACCTGATTGTCAGTCGACAGTTGTGGGTGGTATCCTGGGGCTGGTGCCTGGTAGTATATCTAAGGACTCCACAAGGGACTCCTCAAATGACTACAGTGTCTAACACAATCACTGATATACACAATTCCTAACTGTTACATATATCCTTCCCTCCATCTCTCCTGCACCTCGGCCACCTCCGTCCATCTGTATATACCTTCCCCATCCTACGGGCTCTCCGATTATTAAACATATTTCGTGCACGCGATGATCTGAAATAAAACATCTGTGTGTGAAACTCCCTTGTTGTCCTGCTCTCGTGCATTTCGTTTAATTTTTCAACCATTATCTACCTCTGAGATCTTTCTTGCTTCCATCATTCTCTCACTGTTATAATAATAATAATAATAATAATAATAATAATAATAATAATAATAATAATAATAATAATAATAATAATAATAATAATAATATTTATTTCTATGCGACCCACACCAGTCGACTAACACTCACGTACCTACACGTACCTATTTTACAGATAGGTGAACATGGACAAAAAGTGTTTTAAGGAAACACGCCCTAATGCTTCCACCTCTAACGGGGATCGAACCACGGGCCTCAGTATGTAAACTGAGTGCGCTACAAACCGAGCTACGGGACACCACCTAACAAAACGTGCATTTATGAACGACTGCAACATTAGTTATCCGACGTTTCCCAGCAAAGTCAAACACTGTGACTTTTCTCCACCAGGACTCTCTGGCTCATTTCCGCTGGGTTTCCCGGTCTGTGTCAGTTGTGGTCCTGGATTTCCACTTACACTGGGTTCTTACGGTAATGAGTATCGAGAGTATTATTACCTTAAGAGACGTCGAGCTCCAGCCATCGGATCCCAGCCACACGAAGCGTGAGTCACTACTTCTCAGCCTGGCTGTTCTCAGCAGTCTCTCAGCCACCGACCTCTCTGCGAACACCACCACCACTGTGGGAGAGATAACAATATTACACCACCACCACCACTGTGGGAGAGATAACAATATTACACCACCACCACCACTGTGGGAGAGATATAATATTACACCACCACCATCGGAAGAGACGATCACACTAACACCACCAGTGTTATAGAAACATCCACACTAAAACCACCAGTGTTGGAGAGACATGCCCTGTAACACCACCAGTATATTGGAGAGAGATTCACACATCACCACCATCTGTTTCCGAGAACCACCTTCAGCACGCACCTCTAGCATCTCTCTCCACCAGCTGGCTGACCACCTGCTGGTAGTCCTCGTCGGTGTGGGTCTGGGAGAGTCTGTGGTAGGGTCTGGCGAAGCACACGTCGTAGTCAGGAGCCCTGGTTAGCAGCTCTCTGCAGCCCTCCTCACCGTACTCCCCCTTGCTGCACACTACACTGGCGTACGTCCAGTCGAACTCCCTGCGTCAGGTAACACAATAAGTCATTAAGTAGCTTTACATACGTACAGGTACACATAAATACGGTAACATACTGTGGAGTATTCTAAGTAAGTAAGTTTACTCAGGTATACACAAATACAGTTACATAGAATTATCATACATAGCAGCATATGTGTAGAGAACCTGGGATAACCCAAAAAAGTCAAACAGAGTGACTTATTTCCACGAATCTAACTGGTTCTAGAACCTCGTTCGTTATGGCGTTCGTTCGTTATAAGGGGTATTGTGTTCCAGGCTCCCAAATACAACCATTTAACAATAAAAAAAATATAATATGTAACTTGTAAAAAAAAAGTGCATAAATATGCATTTAAACTCCTGAAATAAAGAAATTCAACAATACTTATAACAAAAAATAAATTAGTACAAAAAATAAATAAAAAAATACTATAGTTTACCCTCGCGTAGCGGTGAAATATTCTCTCAGTTCCATAAAGCGACATCTGTCACTGGTTCTGCAGACTGTTGTTCGAAATTATTTGTTGGTTCTGAGAACGTTATGTCGTGTTGATTTACCTTCCGTGTGTCACCTACGTAAGGGTGACCCCTAAAATGCAAAAGAAACACGTTCACCATCATTCATTTAGTCACTGTCTTGTCTGAAGCGTGGCGACATCACAGTTCAGGTGGCCTACTGAAACACTACATCCCCCGCATATCCTTCAGAGGGTAGGCGTTGTGCTCTTACTTGAGGATGCGCAGGATAGGTGTAAAGACTTACTTGAGGATGCGCAGGATAGGTGTCAAGACTTATTTGAGGATGTGCAGGATAGGTGTCAAGACTTACTTGAGGATGCGCAGGATAGGTGTCAAGACTTACTTGAGGATGCGCAGGATAGGTGTAAAGACTTACTTGAGGATGCGCAGGATAGCCTGAACTTGCGTGGAGTCGGAGGGGACGGTGCGCAGGAAGAACGGGTAGCGCTCACGGTCACTGAGGGATGCTGAGGTGCTCTGGTAGCTGATCTGTGGCATTTCTATCACCCTCAGCACACTGGCCATCTGAACCACCACGATTATTATTATTATTATCATCATAATCATCATCATCATTATATTCCATTAAACGTCAAACTCTTAAGGTTATTTAGTGAAGTCATGGAGGTTCGATCCTCCGCCTCCTGACTGTGGCCCAGACAGAGTCTAGTGAAAGTGTCGGTGAATCGAACACGAGGACTGCAGTAACAGACACAGACACAGACACAGACAGAGACACAGACACAGACAGTGAGAGACAGAAAACAAAGCAGTGCCACAGGACGAGACATAACTCGGGATTTTTGTTTTCAACGAAAGACGAACAAGAGAAGAAAATCATCCGTCGGGATCATCATGACAGGAATTCATTGCTTAGGCTTATGTTATATGTTATATGTTATATACAAGGGCAATGCGGGAAAAATATTACTTATGTGAAGGATTATATATATATATTTTTTTTTTGAGGACAATCTCTAAATTTTGACTCAAGGAAAAGTGAAAAGGGCAGGACTGTAATTTTGAAAACAGGTTGGACAGTTATCTGAGTGGAAATGTAGGACCTACCTAGCATGGGCCAGTAGACCTACCTGTAGTTCGGTCGCTAGCGCACTCAGCTCACACACTGAGGTCCGTGGTTCGATCCCCGGTACGTGTGGAAGCATTAGGACATGTTTCCATAAGACACCTACTGTCCCTGTTAACCTAACAGTAAAATAGGTACCTGAGTGTTAGTCGACTGGTGTGGGTCACATCCTGGGGACAAAATTGACCTAATTTGCTCGAAATGCTCTGCATAACCAGGGGCTTTCTATATAAATATGACATTGATGTCAGCTAGGCCCGTATACCTTGTATCATGTACTTAAAGAAATAAAGATTATTATTATTATTATTATTATATTATTATTATTATTATTATTATTATTATTATTATTATTATTATTATTATTATTATTATTATTACCGTAGTGCTCCACTCTTTCTGTGACCTGAGGGAAGAATAGGAGTGACCTGCTGCCGACCTGTGACCTACCTGGACTGAGACAGAGGAGTGCTGACCACCGATAACGCCTACCACCTTGTCGAACTGAACGTCCCTGAAGGTGGGAGAGGATCCGTCCCCACAAGTGAACTCTGGTTTGTGGTGTTTGTTCTGACCTGCCAGGAAACCTGCGGCAAGAACCACCATGTATCAATGGTCACAGGCAACGAAGGCACCCTTGTATAAAGGGCCAGAAAGAAATAGGGAGGCAGCCTTATCCAGGATGACGTAAGATAAGGACGCCCTTATCTAGGTCACAAGGGCTACGGGGGATATTGTGGTACAAGGTCCTTGTGACAGAAACTACTGAATAAGGGAACAGAAGGTCAGAGTAGATCACAAAATTACTCAGTGCATCATTGTTCACCATACATTGTCACTGCATATATTCTACTCACCAAACATTGTCATTCAATACATTATAGCCATCATCATTTTCATCCCTTCACTGAGAACAACAACTTATCCAGGTCTTCCTGAAGCGCTCTAGTGTCTTCATTCGAATTTATTTGACTGTCAGTTTCAGAGTCATTAGCAAAAGTATGTCGTCTATGTATATGGTGAACAACAAAGAGCTCAATACTGGTCCTTGTGGTACACCGCTCGTGATACGTCCCTACTCTGACTTCTCCCCATGTATGTAAACTCTGTTGAGGAAATAGACACATGTACAACACCTTGATATCGTTATTTGAAGATTTGTTGTCAGTACAGAGATGATATATGAAGACAGTAGAAGATGAGGTAATCAGTCCCTTAATCTTACAGAAATATGCACCGAACATAATGGAGGTTGTTGCCTAATTGGCATCCACACCTCCATCCAGGAGGAAATTCTGTGTAACGCTACTGTCTTCAACAGTCTCCTGTGTGGAACTTTATCAAAGGTCTTACTGAAGCCCGTATACACAACATCGTATTATTATCATTATCTACTGACTCGAATATCTTAGTGAAAGTCTGTAAATTCATGAGGCAGGAACGCCCCTTGGAAAGAGCATTCCGAAGTTTGAAAATAAAGTTATATCTGTCAGTGTGGCTCCGATTTGCTTCTACGGTTATTGATTCTAACAATTTTCCCACAATGGAGGTTAAGGTGAATAGTCTATATTTCGAAAGTAAGGATCTATTTCCCGCTTTGTAGAGAGGCATCACAATTGTCACTTTCCACTTATGAGTTACGATGCCACTTTGTAATGAACTGTTGCGTAGACCAGCTCAATGTTTGTAACTTCCTCCTAACATTTCTTTAGAGCCCTTAAAAGTAGTTCATCATCAGGGCTCGGTGATTTGTCTCGTTTTAATTTATGAACATAGTTGTCTGAGAACCATCTCACTAGTGACTTTCATCAACAGGAACTTATTTTCATCCTGACCTAACTTATTTACTTTTGGATTTTAGCTATCATCTTCCTACGGGAAAACGCGAAGGAGATAAGTGTTGAAGATTATAAATATTACTTTGCCACTGAAGGTAAGATGACCTCAGCAACTTTCAGCTTCCCTTCCTCCTGATCTCACTCCCATGTACACGAAAAAAATATTTTGGGTTGGTCTTTGATTCCCATGCGTCTTTAGTTTCATAATCTTTATTTTGGTTCATCTTATTCCATTTTTTTTTCGTTTCTCTCTGTAATTAAACATATTGATTCATTAATTGTATCTCTTCTCTTTCAATTCGCTTGTAACTGCCACTCTGTGAGATATTGCAATTTACTGTGCATGCATTTAGCGCCATTTTTTGTTGAGGGATGCCTCGTATGAGAGGAGAGAGGGGTGCCTCGTATGAGAGGAGAGAGAGGTGCCTCGTATGAGAGGAGAGAAAAGGTGCCTCTGTATGAGAGGAGTGAGAGGTGCCTCGTTGAGAGGAGAGAGAGGTGCCTCGTATGAGAGGAGAGAGAGGTGCCTCGTATGAGAGGAGAGAGAGGTGCCTCGTATGAGAGGAGAGAGAGGTGCCTCGTATGAGAGGAGGGGAGAGGTGCCCCGTAGAGAGGAGAGAGAGGTTTCCTGTTGAGAGGAGAGAGAGGTGCCTCGTATGAGAGGAGAGAGAGGGCCTCGTATGAGAGGAAAGAGAGGGTGCCTCGTATGGGGAGGGAGAGAGGTGGGCCCCGTATGAGAGGAGAGAGAGGTGCTCGTATGAGAGGAGAGAGAGGTGCCTCGTATGAGAGGAGAGAGAGGTGCCTCGTATGAGAGGAAGAGAGGTGCCTCGTATGAGAGGAGAGAGAGGTGCCTCGTATGAGAGGAGAGAGAGGTGCCTCGTATGAGAGGAGAGAGAGGTGCCTCGTATGAGAGGAGAGAGAGGTGCCTCGTATGAGAGGAGAGAGAGGTTTCCTCGTATGAGGGAGAGAGAGGTGCCTCGTATGAGAGGAGAGAGGGGTTTCCTCGTATGAGAGGAGAGAGAGGTGCCTCGATGAGAGGAGAGAGGGGTGCCTCGTATGGGGAGGAGAGAGAGGTGCCTCGTATGAGAGGAGAGAGAGGTGCCTCGTATGAGAGGAGAGAGAGGTGCCTCGTATGAGAGGAGAGAGAGGTGCCTCGTATGAGAGGAGAGAGGTGCCTCGTATGAGAGGAGAGAGAGGTGCCTCGTATGAGAGGAGAGAGAGGTGCCCCGTATGAGAGGAAAAGAGGGTTTCCTCGTATGAGAGGAGAGAGAGGTGGGCCCCGTATGAGAGGAGAGAGAGGTGCCTCGTATGAGAGGAAAGAGAGGTTTCCTCGTATGAGAGGAAGAGAGGGGGCCTCGTATGAGAGAAGAGAGAGGTGCCTCGTATGAGAGGAGAGAAGGTGCCTCGTATGAGAGGAGAGAGAGAGGTGCCTCGTATGAGAGGAGAGAGAGGTGCCTCGTATGAGAGGAGAGAGAGGTGCCTCGTATGAGAGGAGAGAGAGGTGCCTCGTATGAGAGGAGAGAGAGGTTTCCGTATGAGAGGAGAGAGAGGTGCCTCGTATGAGAGGACAGGAGGTGCCTCGTATGGGGGAGGAGAGAGAGGTGCCCCGTTATGAGAGGAGAGAGAGGTGCCTCGTATGAGAGGAGAGAGAGGTGGGCCCCGTATGAGAGGAGAGAGAGGTGCCCCGTATTGGGGGGAGAGAGAGGTGCCTCGTATGGAGAGGAAGAGAGAGGTGCTCGTATGAGAGGAGAGAGGGGTTTCTCGTATGAGAGGAGAGAGAGGTGCCTCGTATGAGGGAGAGAGGGGTTTCCTCGTAATAGAGGAGAGAGAGGTGCCTGTATGAGAGGAGAGAGAGGTGCCTCGTATGAGAGGAGAGAGGGGTGCCTCGTATGAGAGGAGAGAGAGGTGCCTCGTATGAGAGGAAGAGAGGTGCCTCGTAATTTAGAGGAGAGAGAGGTGCCTCGTGTGAGAGGAGAGAGAGGTGCCTCGTATGAGAGGAGAGAGAGGTGCCTCGTATAAGAGGGAGGAGGGTGCCTCGTATGAGAGGAGAGAGAGGTGCCTCGTATGAGAGGAGAGGGGGGGGTGCCTCGTATGAGAGGAGAGAGGGGTGCCTCGTTGAGAGGAGAGAGGTGCCTCGTTTTGAGAGGAGGAGGGGTGCCTCGTATGAGAGGAGAGAGAGGTGCCTCGTATGAGAGGAGAGAGGGGTGCCTCGTATGAGAGGAGAGAGAGGTGCCTCGTATGAGAGGGAGGAGAGGTGCCTCGTGTGAGAGGAGAGAGGGGTGCCGTATGAGAGGAGGAGGGGTGCCTCGTATGAGAGGAGAGAGGGGTTGCCTCGTATGAGAGGGGAGAGAGGTGCCTCGTATGAGAGGAGGAAAAGAGGTGCCTCGTATGAGAGGAGAGAGAGGTGCCTTTGTATTTAGAGGAGAGAGAGGTGCCTCGTATGAGAGGAGAGAGAGGTGCCTCGTATGAGAGGAGAGAGAGGTTGCCCCGTATGAGAGGAGAGAGAGGTGCCTCGTATGAGAGGAGAGGAGGTGCCTCGTATGAGAGGAGAGAGAGGTGCCTCGTATGAGAGGAGAGAGAGGTGCCTCGTATGAGAGGAGAGAGAGGTGCCTCGTATGAGAGGAGAGAGGGGTGCCTCGTATGAGAGGAGAGAGAGGTGCCTCGTATGAGAGGAGAGAGAGGTGCCTCGTATGAGAGGAGAGAGAGGTGCCTGTATGAGAAGAGAGAGAGGTGCCTCGTATGAGAGGAGGAGAGGTGCCTCGTATGAGAAGAGGAGAGGTGCCTCGTATGAGAGGAGAGAGAGGTTTCCTCGTATGAGAGGAGGAGAGGTGCCTCGTATGAGAAGAGAGAGAGGTGCCTCGTATGAGAGGAGAGAGAGGTGCCTCGTATGAGAGGGAGGGGGTCCTCGTATGAAGGGGGGGGGGGGTTTTGGGGACTTGTATTTGAGGGGTGCCTAGTAAAGGAGAGAGGGGGGGTGAAAAGAACAAGTGGGGCAGGATGTGGGTGTTTATTTCAGAGTGAATATCAGTACTCTCTCTCTCTCTCTCTCTTCTCTCTCTCTCTCTCTGTGTGTATATATACATTATATATATATTAAAATATATATATATATTTTATATATATATATATATTTTATAAAATTATATTTATATATATAAATATATATATATATATATATATATATATTTATATATAGTCACTCTGGACAGACGTTTTGATCCACAATGTCAAGTCACAACCCCCAACGAGAAGTAAAAAAGACCCAAAAAAACAGAGAGTGATAAAGGAGAGAACAGAAAGAAGGAGATACTAGTAGTAGTAGTAATAGTAGTAGTAGTAGAAATAGTAGTAGTAATGGTAGCAGTAGTAATAGTAGTTGTAGTAGTAGTAGTAGTAGTAGCGGTAGCAGTAGTGATAGTAATAGTAGTAGTAGTAGTAGTAATAGTAGTAGTAATGGTAGCAGTAGTAATAGTACTAGTAGTAACAGTAATAGTAGTAGTAGTAGTAGTAGCAGCAGTCTTAGTAGTAGTAGCAGTAGTAATATTAGTAGTATTAACAGTAATAGTAGTAGTAGTAACAGTAGTAATAGTAGTAGTAGTACTAGTAATAGTCGTAGTAATGGTAGCAGTAGTAATAGTACTAGTAGTAACAGTAATAGTAGTAGTATTAACAGTAATAGTAGTAGTAGTAGTAGCAGTAGTAATAGTAGTAGTATTAATAGTAATAGTAGTAGTATTAATAGTAATAGT